TGTGTGGGGGGGAGGGGGGGTGTCGTTTGTGTGTGTCGACTTCCAAAATCGATTACTACGTGTTTTGTGTTTGTGTGTGTGTGAGGGGGGGGGTTAGTCGTAATTCTGTGTCAACCAAAGCTACAACATGTGACTGGAAATACACGTAGTGGACCAGGACAATGGCTGTACACACCGCATAAAGGGACCAGCGACCATCACGAATCGATTAATCGATATCGAGGGGAGCAATCAGCAGACCTCCATTGTCTTCCACGCCTCGCTGTTCTTACTGATAGGTGTTCCAAAACAAAACAAAACGATACAATCGCTTCGGTTAGGGGCATGTGTTCTGTCCAGTTGTTTTGTTGTAATTATCAGTTTATTATGTTGTTCTTATACGCAGCAGTAAGGGAATTAGTTTGTATTGTTATTACATTTTGGTGGATATTAATGTCTATTTTAGTTCACATTTATTTTCAAGAACAAATTATCCAAACATAGGCGAAATATAGTACTATATTATATACATTGTAGTTTATGTACGCTAATGCCATCAAGCTGAAGCAGTAATTAATAGAACCCTATACAACAGAAGTTCACATGCCTACTCCCAATAATATGCTTGGGGGGCTCTCGTAGTCTAGATGTTAAGGTATTGACCTCTCATTCAAAGGTCCCGTGTTCGAATCCGGGTTACCAACGAAACATTTTCTACTCTAAAATTGTCTCTCTAGGAATGTTCTGTCGTCTGCTTTTGTCTCCTCTTTCTGACCCCACCCCTTCACCTGTTCCCCCTCCTCTGGCCTCCTGATTCTTTCTGCAACCTTACTACTGCTACTCCCTGGCTCCTTCTTACAGCTGTCTTTCAGTCACACACCTGATCTTCTGGAAGGAAAGATCTACACCTAGCCTTCTCGGACAAGGGCGATAAATTTCGGAGGGCCTGTGGGTAGGTTGCGCACGTTAAATATCCCTTGGTGGTCTAAAATCGATAAGAAAAAACTTCGGGCAAAATTCTAGCCTAAAACACCTACCAACTGAAAAGTTTAACGTGTTCTGTTCGCGATTATATGACCTTATGCAGTTGCAAGCGCCGTAAAACACTTACTAAAAAATAGAAATAATAATATGCATATATTATAATACAGGACTTATAAATAAATGGGTATTTTTAGCTGCAAACACCACCTCCCTCCTCTTCCGCCACCCCCCCTCTCTCTCTCTCTCTCTCTCTCTCTCTCTCTCTCTCTCTCTCTCTCTCTCTCTCTCTCGCTCTTTCTCTATCTCACACACACACACACACACACACACACACAAACAAACACACACACACACATAGACATTTTCACTCTCTCTCTCACACACACACACACACACACACACACACAACACACATACATAGATACACAAACACGCAGATGCACGGTTAACAAACGCAATTGAACGAAAATGTAAGCCAAAAAGGGTTGAGGATTTATAAAGTTTAGATTAGGCAATACCACAATGTGTGTTGTAATTGGAATAATATTTGGCTCTTTCCCTTTGCGGTCATTCATCTGATATCTTACAAGTAGGGAGCGACGCTTGAATGCGTTCAGTTGATACGATAATCCTATTTCGCAAAGCTACACCCAATCGCCCACATAAGAAAAGACTTTGTCCTTCTTAAACTTACACAGGTAGAAACTCAGAATGCAAAGAGAAAAAAATATTCACCTTGGTTAAAAATATTTCTTTGCAATGTGTCCGTTCTTATATTATTGTATGAAAAGCTAAAAAAGAGTCGACTTCTCTGGGTCTTGCAAGGAATGATTATTATTTCTTTCAGTCAATAAATGACATGTTATTCCATAGTTATAGGTAAATATATTTAAGCTAAAGTCGAAGGACAGCAATCATGTTTCGCTCTTATGTGCGAGGGAGGGGCTTGGGGTCGAAGTTGTAAATTACGGCTCTGACAGAAATAAGTAAATTACAAATTAGGTTTTGCCGCCAACTCCACTCACCTTCTTTCTCTCATTTAAAACATACGGCTTTCGACTTAAAGTTTAAAACACGCTGCACAATTTATTTTATAGGATTTGATAAACTGATTTGATTGATGTATTTTTCAATAGAAAAACTGATTGGAAAGCTGTATTCTGGTAGAATTTTGCTGAGACATTCTGCGAGTTCACTCTTTGAATTGAGACGGCTGGTATAGATATAATGAATATTAAAAAGTAAGCCGAAGTACGTTACACAGTAAGTGAATGGACGCTTTTCCTGGGCGAAATGGCTTTGACACTCGTCTGACCTACGATTAGTGGTCTGAAAAACGTGTGTTTTTTGTGTGTTTTGTTTGTGTGTTCTTTTTCGCTGTTCTTTTCTTTCTTCTTTTTTTCGGAGGGTGGGGGGGGGGGGGGGTGATGGTTATTAACTTGAAACCCCTAGTCCGTGGGGGGAGCGCGTAGAGGATCTAGACTTTTCTGATAAAGACGGTTAACTCAAAGGTTCTATACCAGCAAAGTCGAACCTGCTCTTAAGGCCACCTGTGTGTGACAATCACCTTCACAACAGCCATTTCCAATTTCTTCCCTTGTGTAATTTTTGTTTACATTAAATAAGACGGTGTAAAATGTCCACCTGTCTCAAACGGCCATTTTCTCCCCAACAACGGATCGTCGTATTAGACAATTTCGTCTTTATTGCGTACCTCAAGCTGCGTGACAATTGGATTCTGAAACAGACTCGACGTTTCTAGACATACATTCTATGGGCCGGCTGCCTGGTTCGATATAATATGAGAGGAATCTTTAGGTAATAGTGTAGTTGTTACTAATTCGTATTTTATCATTGCAAAATACACATGATATCCTGAACCCATAGAACACTGGCACTGGGACTCAAAAGCAGCTGTTGGGTATTTTGTTGTTGTTGTTGTTTTGCGTTTTTTCTGCAAGTAAGAAAATGTTACAAGAATTAACTATTAGATGCACTCAGTGTGTGTTTCATATTATGTTCATAAAAGTGCACTACGTTAAAACGAATTTAAACATCAATCTCACAAATTAAGTATCATTCCAGTTAATATAAAACCTATAAACTGAACTATCACACAAAGAACAAATCTTCAAATGAACAAATAGTTTCAACTGTCTAAATTTTTAAAAAACTGATACCTACGAAACATGATGACCAATGACCGATTTCCACAAAGAAAAAAATGTGTTTATGAATCCATCGTGAGCGAAATCATATTATAAAACATCAAGCCTGTAACTCAGTTTCACATTCACTTGAAGGTGTGCAAGTCAGATCCGGAAATAATATCTTAAAACCGTTGAAGGCACAGCGATTACGAGTGCGTTGCAGTCACCACTAATGATTTATATATTATCCAATATTGCCTTTGAAAGGTTTCCTTTCCATAACGTACAGGGAAAAAAACTGCACAGTGAAAAATAGAGTAAAGAAAATTGGTTCTCTGTAAGGGAAATATTGTGTAAGAGTTGACGATCGATCTTATGTTATGGATTGAATGTCGGTTCACACATTGATACTACCCCTATTGAAGGAATACGTTATCAGTGGATTGTCGGTGAGTG